CATACGTACGTACGAAGTTCCAAGTTGTTACTGACTGATTGACAATCGGATTTGTTGTGACAGAGTAACTCAATGAAGAGATGATGATAGACGTTGGTGCACTTTTGTGATTTTGTTGAAGTTAGACATTAACGCCATTGGATACCAACCGTATTAGTAATCTAAAGTTTAAACGTTCACTCATGAGACCTATAGGTCCCATGAGTGAGATCGTGGATGTAAATTGTTAAGTCGTCCTTTATTAAGACGAAACTGTCATCTAATGGATCCGAGTTTTCTATAATGATCTAAATTTAATTGACTCATAAATTCAACTATTGTAATTACATTGAATCTATTGAATAAATTAATCAAATTTATATTTTATATTCTATATTCTACATACAATTTCATAATAATAGACTCATGAAATTAGTATAAAATCAATATTGAAGTAATTTGAAGATCTAAATAATATTTACTTCATCTATTTTCAATTATTAATCAAGTATAATTCTTGATATTCAAGAAGAATAATTCATGGAACACAACTTTTTTTTCTCTTTACAAAAGAAGAGATGGAGACAAATTCAAAAAAACAAAAACAGAGTGAGAGTGAAAGAGACAAAGTGAGCGAGCGAGCGAGTGAGAGGGAGAGAGAGAACTTTCCAAGCGAATCTAAATTTTGTCCGCTATCCATTAGTTACTAAGGTATTCTATATGAATTGTCTATTGGGAATCGTTTGAATAAATCAAAATAACACAAACTAACAAAACAGAGAAGAAAAAAAATGAATGAATTTTAAATGAGACAAAGTTTCTTTTTTCTTTGGTAACTAAAATAAAAGCAAAAATAGAACAATGAATCAATATGAATAGAATAAACTACGAAGGTGGGGTGCTGTGGGGGAGGGGTGGTTTGTTGTTGGAAAAAAAGTAAAAAAAAGAAAAAAAATGAAATAAAGCAATAGTCTAACCGAAAATTTTATTTTTAAGGTAATTGAATTTTGGTAAAAGAATCAATCGATTTTAGTAATATTTAAGAATCATTAACAAAATGTGTAAATATTCTAAATGCTGATAATCATAGTGATAAGCCTTGCTAATTGAACTCTATATTCGGTTCCTAAACTATTCTTGTAACCTCCAAGTTAGAACTACACAGCGTAGTTCCTAACCAATGGTGTAAATGGACTCTAGGATCTTCAGTGTATAAATGGCGTATGAACCTATTGTTGGTCAACGTCTACCATGGAACTGCATATCCTGATGATGCTCCACTGTCTTGTGGATCAGACCTTTATGTCGAAGGCTTAGGGTATGACTCCTGAGAAAATTACCTTTTTCGCTTTAGGCAAACGAGCACTATCTCAGCCCTCACATAAATCATTTGATTTATGTGACGCATATGTATTTGATACCCTCTTCAACCAATCTTCATATGTTTAAATAAATAATAATAAATATGGGAATCCTCTGATTCCTACATTCAATGGTAGTCTATCTTAAATTGATTCATGAATTCAACTATTAAAATTACTACAATCTCCCCTATTCTGATAATTATTTCTCAATAAGGAACATGAACATTTTACATGATTGTTATAATCATTCTAGAATCAATTCAATTCTCATATAACGAAGTAAAAATATGATCCAGTGTGTTAATCATAAAGAATGTAGAGCTTGATATATATGTGCATTTGACTAAGTGATCATACCACATAAACATAATGTGATGAAATAAGCAAAATGATAAGTCATGCTAATTGAACTCAATATTCGGTTCCTAAGTTATTCGCGTAACTCCCAAGTTAGAACTACATAGCGACCTAAACACAAGGAAGAATGCACAAAATTTGTGAGAGGCACTTTACTCCAAACGTTCATTTTAGTAAAGAAACTATAGGGTTTTTATAGTAATTTAAATGTCTTTGGTTTTTCGGATAAATCTGGAATGCTACTAAACATAGTAGCAATGTAGGTAATAATCCAATCAGAAACTCTACATGTAACTTTTCACTTAGGTAATATTTCTGACTAAACTTGAAGTGAACGCTGATTAGATAAAATGCTTCTTAGTATTTCCTGAATCTTTCTTGTCTTTTGTGAGAAGTTTTCTGGATCATCCCTACATATAGTGATATTACCTACTATATACTTCCATAATAGCTAGTTTGTTATTTATTGGGATAATGAGATAAAAATGGTAATAAATTAGTTAAACCGGTATGTTATTCATATTGTGGTGTGTGTTACTGATGTTGACAGATATAATTACCATGTATCATCGATTGGAAATGAAATGTCTGATGGCAGAATGTTAAGAAGATCAAAGAAATGAGAATGAGAACAGAGAATGATTGGTATGGACATGAAAGAATAATCAAGTCTGACACGATTGATTGACTTTTTGCAAATGAAGTATCTACTGTATAGTTCTCGGAATTTAATAAGAGATTCCATAATTTTGTGTTCAAAGACATTCGACTGTTCCAATATCGAGACAATTCGCACAGAATTCACATATGCCAACAAGAGACTCATCAATCACAGTCTTAAGTAACAATGAGAAGATACAAGTAAAACAACACCAAGTGAATATTTACTGTATGGTTCGCCGATTTTACTAGATTTTTTCAAATTTTGAGTATAAATACATTTGGTTGTCTCCACTTGTGTTCTCGTTCATTGCAATATCATTATTGACAAGAGTTTGAATTATCCTGATGTTTTTATCCACAAGTGAATTTCAGTCATTCATTTTTGGCTTATGAAGGGTTGTCTTAATATAGCCATATTATCACATATCATTTTTAATAGATGATTTTTCGTAAACAGTTTCTTTATGGTTCGTCAGTTGTGTATCTGCATCGCTGCATTCATGTTCATACTGTAACTCGAATCATAACTTTACCACTTCAAACTCATCACTCAACACGTTATCGGATGAATTGCTGTCTAACATGTTCATTACACAACTAATGTTTTTGTTGCTTTGATTAAGACATATATACATCAAAGTTCTTACTAACTTCAATCAAATTCACCTTGGTTCATTAATGATTCCTTCAAATGTTTCTATGATAAAATGGAAGGATAGAAATGTTTTCTGTTTGTTATGATATACTATTATTGTGCAAGTATTGACCGAGATTCTACAACCTCAGAATAGACACTCAATCAGTATACTCTATACATAAACTGGAATCTCTTCATGTCATATACACAGTTCACAACTAACAATGAAATACCAGTGTATAGGTTAAATAGTGTTTTATTCAATACGACTATAAATAATCTGCATTCAATTTAGTTCAAAATAGGAATAAATAATAGGAAGGAAATAACGTATCAAATTGTTGTTAACCTGAGCATCTGTGTGTCACATTGTACTTTCACTGAGCACATATCCCTCATCTTCAACCTTCGTGATCATTCTTCTCGTTAACTTCAACAAAAACAACACAACCAAACATCGATAGGTACTTCTTTCATGTTACAACACAGCGTGTAAACTTGCACGTATCTTCTAAAGAATATACATTGGTAGAACGTTCATTTAATATCTTAACTGAAAACATTCTTCGTCGATGTCATCAGTTTTATTTAATATTTACTGTCAAATGTTTATGAACTGTGAGGAAAAGTTGATAGACACCTAATGAAATCAACTGAACTTATGTTATTTTGTCAGAATCTTTCGTTTCCCTAGTGTTCAAGATGATAAATGGAACTGTGTACATAGAAATAATACGTTTGAATAATTATTTTGTTTGTATGAAATGTAGTCAGTCAGTCAGTCAGTCAGTCAGCTAAAACGTTGAACCAAGAGCATTTATATAAGTCAGTCCAAGCTGTTATACCTCATTGGCACAACAAGATGAACACCAAATTCATAGATAGAGTTACTTCAATAGTAGTTACATATAAAAGAAAGATTGTGTATAAGAAAAAGGTAGAAATAATTTTAATGTCACAATTTAACAGAAGGCAGAGAGTGTATACATCTATACCATTGTGATTGATTCTAAGCCATGTCACTCAGAGTCTCCAACCATTGGTCACGATAGTCAAGTGGACTCAAATCAAGTAGTCTGCATCTACCAAAATGCCTCAGACCAGAAGCTAGTGGCCTCAAGCAGTGATGTCGCATTTTGGTTTGACCACCCGTAACTTACATTCAACCGTCTCCAACACTAATCAGCATTTCGCGTTGTGGTAATCAATGTTCAGGTATACGTAACACATGGCCCAACCATCTCAGTTGATGAAGATTTACAGCCTCATCAACTGATTCACCATCCTTACCTAATTTAATGCGAATTAATTTGTATACAACTAAGAAGTTTATTCATCATTGCAAAACAACAAATACTGTCAAATAAATGTTGATGATGCGTAATAAGAAGTAATTTCTTAAACCCTGCAGTAATACTTAAGATTGAGCTGTTATGTTGTAGTTTATGATTAGAATATAACACAAAATTAGTCAATGTTTTATTGTAAGTTATATGCAATTCTTAACTTTCGGTTGTTTTTTTCTCTCAATATACTACTGTAGTGTACGAGAACATCAGTTGGTACGAGCAAATGTATTTGAACACAATATTACAGAATGTCTTCATAAAATCTAAGAGTCATACAGTAATTACTTCATATGCAAAAGATGAATCAATTGTCTCAGAATTCATTATTCTTTTGTTTCTACATCATTCTCTTGTCATTGATCTTTTTAATTATCTACCGTCAGATATTTCACTTTTTGATGAATAATCCATACTACTTATATCTATCCATATTAGTAGTACACATCATAATACATTATTATGTAGTTCATTGATTAGAAAATGGTGTATATCAGATATGTCAATTCGATTTTCAACAGTTTATTTAAAGTGGTTGATTAGGAATAGAGTGTAATTTGATAATCATGGCAGAAGTGAACTTATGAGAATGATTTAAATTGTTAACTTTTCACAAATCATGTACAAACATTCGTTATTTATCATTTATTTACATCATTTTGATAGAATAGTTTGATGAATACATGAACAACAATAAAGACTAGGAATTCTTTGATACTCATCTTGATATTCAGCTTTCATTATAGTCTGTTGTTGTTGTTGTTGTCGTCGCTGTTGTTGTTGATGATGATGTTCACTACTTATTTCTTCATCAGTAGTTTTCATTTCATTCAATTCAGTTTGAATTATATCATCCATTGATGTATTCAATGTTTGTTCTATATAGATTGATGAACTATAACTAAATTTACACCAATGTAAGATTTTCAATGTATGAAAATAATAAGTGAAATAGTATTTGATTAAATGTCGATATTTCAATGATTGATATAATAACATTGGTAATATGAATAGGAATCTTTGACTAGACCATATTCTTAATAAGCCAGATATAAATTGAATAGAACATAGTTGATTCATAGATTTTGTTAATAACATACTACTATTTAATGTATTTGTTAGTAGTGGTAATAAGCCTGAATGATTTGTTTTAATATTATAATTTTCATTGAAATTTGTATTGAAATGTTGTTTAAATGAATGAATATAATTTGGTATTATAATATTACCATTGAACCATTCAATAAGATCAGCTAAATCAAATAGAATATACATAAGACTTAAACAAATTGTTAATTGTGTTGGTTCAGTAAATAAAGTTTGTTGATCATTGGAATGATGAATTGATGATTTTAATGGAATAATTGTTTGTTCTATTTTCCAGTTTCTATGAATGTTGTCAGGATTCGAACAAGGATCTACATGATGTATACGTGATTTATGTATAGCTATAAAACTAAGTAATACAATTGAACTGATTATGAACATATAAGGTAATATTGAATGACAAACCTATAAAACAATAAGTTTAAAGAAAGAAAAGAAAAGAAAACAATCAGAATATAGTTGCCATGGTGAAGTATATCAAAGAATCTTTAACAGTATACTTGAATGGATGGTATAGAATCATTGATAAACTCTTCAAATTAGTTTATTCATTGATTAACTGTGTGTAAAATTGAAGGTAACTGTTATATCTAGATGCTTATATTCTTGATATACCGCGTATAACTTCAGCACTAGAACTCTAGAACCTTTCCAAGTCGCAATGAGAAGAAAGAAGACTAGTGAAAAGAATGTTATTACCAGACAGTGTCAATTATAGTACAAAAGTGTCAGGTATTTATAGGTTTTAGTAAGAAACGAAATCATTATGACAGTCTTCCAATTCGCATACAGTGGAGTTATTAGCATTGTCCAATCGGGAAGCTACACGTAGGGATTTTAGAATATCCTTCCAAAAGGTGATTAGATGAAATATATTCGGCTTTTTCTGAGCTTCTTACAGCTTCCTCAAGTTTACCTGTAGACTGTCCTCACAGTCACATAGTTTTGTGCTAAGAATTTTATTTTTTTTAATTAAACTTGATCATTGTGTTCATTCAAAGACAATTCGTTAAGAATAGACAATATGAAATTCTGTATAGTTTATTAAAGATTATTTTAAGATTGATCAATGAGATCAAACTATTTTGATAAAATGGTGATTGATTCAAATTATACACCATTTAGTTATGATCTGAATGATAATCAGATCAGCAGTTTGAGATATGAGGTAATATTGGCTAAGAAGTGATCACAGATGAGCTCAAATTCATTCAATGGTTATTTAGATAATAAAGTTTAGTATATTTTCATATATACATCTGTTCATTTCTTATAGTTTAACTACATACACAATATTAAGTGAATCTTTATTATTGTCCTTTATGGTTCACTTTGTGTTGTGGTGATCGAGAAAACCTCTCACAAAAGACAAGAAAGATTCAG